TTTTTTTAAATAAATAGATCATTATTGGGGTGTCATTAGTTAAAACATATGATAATGCGATTGATGACATTTCTGGATATAAAGTTAATTCACTTAAGAAAATGAATGGACAGCATTGATAATACTATGATTGAAGACATTCTATTTTATCTCTTGGTTTATTTGCTTACCGCCTGTAAAAATGCGAATGAGTTTGCTCGCCCTTAAATTCGTCCATCCCTTTATATTTAGGCCACCTTTGTTTCCTATGATGCCCATTACAAACCATAACAAAATCAAATATTTCTTCATGCTCACTGGTTTGATCTTTATTTACAGAAGTAGCATATTTAACTTTCCAACGATGATCAGGAAGGTATGATACACGAACAACAGTTGTACGAAATTTGATGTATGGCCTAAGTTTAAAATTGTCTGCGTACATGTTAAAGTACCTTTTTAAATGGAAGGTAAATATAGTAATTTTATTTGCAGAATGTGGAAGAAAACAAAAAATAAAAAATAAAAATAAAATAAAGTACTTGGCGACAAGTGAGTTATGTAAATAAGATGACCAATCCGCGGGGATTGGAAAATCCGAAAATGTCATCTATTTATGATAAACCGAAAATTACTCAACCATATCAATAAATGTATAATATATCCATAAAGTTACACACCACTTCTTTAGAAGAATTAATAACTAGGCTTTTATAAGCTGATGGATGTGGATCCTTATTTTCGTCGTCATCAACTTCAACAAAATTCCAAAGACCTCCTACGCAAGATGTTTGTTCGAAACATATTGGATCCAAATCATCATCGAGGCATTGTTTTAGGGCTGCTAGGCCTGATGAACCTTGATGTTTGTTTTAAAAGTTGTTAATCAGAATTATTTTAAATCATGCCGCTATGTAAATTACTTTAGCATACCGGCTCCTATAATAGCAACACGAGGTTTAACCATTTTCTGAATGCTACATACATATCAAAAATGTGATCAACCCTTTATATACTTAGTCAACACTTGTAACGGAATATGTGGTTACGTCAAAGATTACGCAATTATGATTCCATTGTGAAAAGTTGTGGCAGAGCATCAAATACCGTTTTAAAAATACAGAATTCATAAGAAAATTTTAAAATACGGCAGGGTGAAACCTGAGTTTGCTTAAGTTACGTACGTTATTGACGCAGATCTATATTAAATTAAGGTTAG